CCAGCCTGTAAGCAGGTGCCCTTGTGGATGCCACCCCCGCGCGGGCGACGGTTACCCCTACAAGCGAGCATCGCCTGCATGGGGGCTCGCTTGCTCGCATAGCGCCCACAAGTGTCGCCCTTACACGCGAGTGCAGTGCCCATGCACAAGCGACCTACATTATAGGCAACCCTGCCTGCGGGCAGCCTGCTTGCATGCGGCCTACTGCAGGTGGCCGAGACCTCCCTTTGGAGTTCTCAACTAAGGCTACAAGTAGCCTTTGGCCAACTTGCGAGGGCAGCAACAGTTGCTACCCTCTCTTGCCTTTTGCATCAATGATTTTAACATTAAAAGTTTTTCTAAAATACAACACATGCATTTTAAAACCAATCTTTTGCACGAACAACCAGGCTCTGATACTATTGTAAGAAATCTAGGGTTGACATCACATGTGCAATGGAAGAATAGGAAACAAAAACCCAAATTATTCATAAAGGTGTTCGTCGTTATGTGAAAATTGGTACCCAAAATCTGTAAAATTGAAAATTATATATCATAAAGATAGTTGTATTTTACCTAGGGAGATCGTATATCCCTGAATCCCTACAGATATGTAGGAGAGGATGAAGGAGGGTGAAGCACCCTCCTCTTTAGTGGTGATCCACACAACAAAGCTATGGTGACGTTCCTTAAATCATTGTCCAAATCTCTACACCTGCTATCTGAGGGGAAGAAAGGGAAAAAGAGAATAGGAGGTGGCAACTCAAAAGCCTAATAGATCCTTCCTATTTATAGAGGCCCCTTGTCAAGTTAACCCTAATGGATCATGTCCTATTGGGTATTAGATCTACATCCAACTACCTAAGCCTATTAGATTAATAGATTTTATCCAATAATCTCTCATTGGCTCTTATTGGATTTCATCTATAGTATCCAATAATTCAAAGACTTATTGGATATCCAATAAGATAAAGGCTCCGACGGATATCTCATATTCGAACCTCTACTCATCGCAAAGCCTACCATATGTGTATGACCCTCTAGGCCTAATATTGAGCTGGCCATGAGTCATTCCTGTCAGAACTCCTTCTGGCTCAATGAATTATTATCTTCATAATAATTCACTCGACTCATCGATTATGGACGTACTAGGCCACTACGTCGTAGCCCATAAACGATACAGGAGAATTCAATCCTTTGGACCTATTTATACTTAGTTATCATATATCCATAGTCCTTCATCCATCTAATATCCTAGAGACCATATACCGGGCATGATGTTGTCAGGCCTAAACGGTTTCTCCTCGAGTCTCGCTCTAATCGGATTCTTCCGATGAACTCTTTCTCTCTCAATCCAAATGACCCTAGGCAGATATTTGTTTAAGTAAGAACACATGGGATATTCCTCTCATGACATCGAGAGTGGATGATCCTCTATCAATACTCAATAACTATCGTAAGGTTGGCTGCCACTCTCGATGACCAACTGTGTTAGATTTGAAACTTCCAAACCTTTTAGTCCGATATCAAAGAGTGGAGTACTCATACAGAACATCCTTGGTGTCTCAAGTCTAAGGACCAGGTATACCACTGGGATAACAGAATCATTGTCATGGCATTAGTAGCTCATTATGATCTTGAGTTACACCAGATGGATGAGGAAATTTATATTGAACAACTTGAAGGATTCATAGAAAATGAAAAAGAAAGTTGATACCATTACTTCTTTTAGATTTAAGGAAAATAATATTGATCAGTGTATATATCTGAAGTTAAGTGAGCTAAGTTTATTATATTGATCTTATATATGGATGATATTTTATTTGTAATAGTGATCTTGGTTTATTGTACGAAACCAAGATATTTCTCAAAAAGAACTTTAAGATGGTTAATATGAATGAGGCAGCCTATGTTATTAGCATTGAGATATTAATAGATAGATCTCAAGGATTATTAGGACTATCTAATAAATGATATATTAATCATATCTTGGAGAGATTTAATATACAGCTTTGCTTAGCCAATAATACACCTATTATTAGAGATAAAGAATTTAGCTAAAACTAGTATCTAAAAAATAATTTATAAAAAAATCAAATAAAGAATATTCCTTATGGATGTGCAGTTGAAAGTCTATTATATGCTCAAATCTATACAAGACCAAATATCAGTTTTATAGTTGCAAGTAGATACCAAAGCAACCCAAGAATGAAATATTGGAAAGCTACAAAGAAAATATTAATATATTTGTAGGGGATAAAAAATTATATACTCATATACAAGAGATCAAATCAACTTGAAATGATAAGATATTCAGATGTTGATCTTGTAAATTACCTCGACAGCAAGAAGTCTACTTCATGATTTATATTCATGTTAACTAGTGGGGCAATTTCTTAGAAAAGTGTAAAACAATTGCTTATTGCATCATCAATAATGGAAGTTGAATTTGTGACATGCTTTGAAGCCATAAATTAAGCTTTATAGTTGCGAAATTTATCTCAGGACTTAGTGTTGTTTGACTCAATTACTAGGCCGCTAAAATATTTTGTGATAATACTATAGTAGTTTTCTTCTCTAAAAATAACAAGTACTCTAGTGGTTCCAAGCATATTAAGATAAAGTACTTGATAGTTAGAGAAAGAGTCCAAAATCAGTAAGTGTCAATTAAGAACATAAACACCACTATGATAATTGCTGATCTATTTACTAAAACTTTATAGTGTAAAATATTTAAAGAATATATTCTTAGAATAGGGCTCATGAGAAAGCCAAAAAGATATAGTAATGCATGTTTAGGTGGATTCTGTTATTGATATTTATTTTATATAATTAAAGTTATTTATTTTTGCTATCCTATTTATATTTATGTTTATGCATATTATGGTTAAATGTAATAATATGATTGTTTTGACAAGATAAATTACTGAGGTTATTATGAAATATATAAGAAAAATCTAACAATGTTATGATACATAGAAGGAAGTGTGAGATTGATAACATACAATCGTTATAACTCGCATTGATACTTGGACTAGCTATAGTATTATTATGCTTATTGGATTTATTGGCTTGTTTTTAAAATTCATGACCATATATAAAATGCTTTTCAAAATTTTTCGAAATCAAATTAGGTAAACTTATTTTCAAATAAATTTTATTTTATTTATTTTGATTTTAAATATTTTTTAATATCTTATCAATTGATTGGCCAATAGGATAATGTTAGATTATGTGACCCTTTTATAATTGGGTAAGATATATAATAAAATTAATTGGATTCTAATGATAGATATTGACTAATAGAAAATAAGTTCATATTATTGTAAGATTCCTTAGGAGATGCCTTGATAGGAGGAACTCTCATAATAGCTTATTCTAGATCTTTTACTCTTTTTTATAAATAGATAAGACTTCTAGGAACAGTTGAGATTATGATATTCAAATCTAGAGGATAGAACCTTTGCAGATCACACATAGAAATTTTTTTAGTTGACATAAAAAAATATGTAATGTAAACCCAATCTAAAATTATTTGATTTCAATCCTGGTATGAAAATTTTTCACATAACTTATTCTTGATGAAAAGAATAGAAGATAAGAACAATTACTGAAGAAGCTTTATTGAAAAAGTGAAGAAGTTTATTGAAGAAATGAAAAATGCTTCAATACATTAACATGTTCCCTCTCCTATTTATATAGATTAAGAGAATAAGGATACCAATCTTGGATCGATGCAAAGAATGGTTTACAAGCGAGAGACTTCGTGAGTAGGGCAAGAGTAGATCGCTGCTATTGTTGCGATTGTTATTGCTGTGAGGGCACAGGCGTTCCCTTCGTTCTCTTTAAGTCCGCCCTTCGTTCTCCTTAAGTTCATCGACTGTTGGCAGATCAGCGAAGGCAGTGAAGGCTACCGCGATGAGAAAGATGAGAATTGGCCGTAGAGCCTCTTAGGAATATGGCTGCAGCGACGTTGGTTGCTGGCCGAAGACAAGGGCGAAGGTTTGCTTTTCTCAACGATGTTGGTCGTTGGCCAAAGGCAAGAGCGAAACTTCGCTTTTCTCACTACTCTGATACCACGATGAAAAGAATAGAAGATAAGAACAATTACTAAAGAAGCTTTATTGAAAAAATGAAAAGTTTTATTGAAGAAATGAAAAATACTTTAATACATTAACATGTTCCCTCTCCTATTTATATAGATTAGGAGAAAGAGGAAAAATGATTTCTCTTAATAGAGGATTTTCCTCAATAGAATAGAGAGATTTCGTCGTATAGTTGGAGAAATCTTATCTTCTATCAATTCTTGCTTTTCCTTTTTACTGGATCTTGAATTATATTAAATATTTCATAGACCCATTTCTTCAGTTACGTCCCTACTTTCAGATTCCTTTTTCCCCATATATATGTTCCTTTGCTCGACAAATTGGTTAGGTTAGTCTCTTGAGTCCTTTTCCTTGATTGCCTCGTTGTTCTTGGATCCTTTCTTCTAGATATTTTTTGTTTCTCAGTGTCTCACTCGATCTCAGTGAAGTAGATGGCACCTCGATCTTCTATCTAAATTCTTTGCTCATATTAATTCAATACTTTCTTGATATTTTATGTGAATTTTTAGGCCACACTTTACGCGGATCCTTTCATCTGCGAGGAAACTTTCTTGTTCTCTTCCTAAAATTTGATGTTTCAATCAAAACTTTATTCTTTCTCGGGAGGTTTTTCTGCTTTTCTTTCTTTTTTTTTTCTACTATCAAATGAATAATCCATCATCATCTATTAATCCAGTTCTCGAACAGTAGTACAAGTCACCAAGAAAGCTAGTAGCTCATTACAATATGTTTCGTTTATTAGATTACAGATTGTCTACACATCATGTTTTAGATCCGATGATGAAATGTCACTGCGGGTTCACTAGTTGTGCGGTGATATGCAAACATATAAAGGGTATAAAAAAGTCTTTGGTTATAAAATTGAACTTGAAAGCCATTAGATTTGGAAATGATCAAATCTGTGGTAGGTTCGGCTTAATTAATTGCCACCTTGTATTTAATTTGCATCAATTGAAATATCCTTTTCTTGTGTAATAAGACAGCACAATCCTTTTATTGAAATATGGCGATGAATTAACAGCGATTCCACTACGAAGAAGCCGAAGCCAGTCTCAAATGAATCCACCGTTGACCCGTACGACCTGCCCGTTCACCCACTCGCCGGCGTCGGTGCACAGGAACCCCACCAGCGCGGCCACGTCCTCCGGCTGCCCCAGCCGCCCCAATGGGCTCGCCTCCGCTGTCCGATTCACGGCCTCCTCGCTCTTCCCCGCGAAGAAGAGGTCCGTGGCCGTCGGCCCCGGCGCCACGCAGTTGGCCGTAACCCCCGTCCCTCGTAGCTCCTTCGCCAGCACTTTCGTCATCGCCTCCACCGCCGCCTTCGACGCCGCATATGCTGCGTATCCCGGCAGCAGCGCCGCCACCAACGACGACGACACCGTCACGATCCTCCCGCCGCCCCCGCGTATCAGCCGCGCCGCCGCCTCCTGGCAGCAGAGGAACGCGCCGCGGGCGTTGACGTTGAAGGCGGCGTCCCAGTCTTCGAGGGTTGTGTCGACGAGGGGCGGATACTTGGGGTCGAGGACGCCGGCGCAGGCGACGAGGATGTGGGGCGCGGCGCCTCCGAAGGCGGACTCAGCGCGGTCGAATAGCGATTTGACATCAGCTGGGTCAGAGACATCGGCGCGGACGGCGACGGCACGCGCTTCGTGGGAGGAGTTGATTTGGGCGGCGAGGAGGTCGGCCTGTGTGGCGTTGGAGGCGTAGCCAAGGACGACGCCGGCACCGAGGGAGGCAAGGTGGAGAGCGATGGCGCGGCCGATGCCTCGGGAGGCGCCGGTGACGATGGCCACGCGGCCTGCGAGGGGAAGGACGGGCTCGTTGGCGGCCATGCCTGGAGACTAGGAAAGGATCGGTGTCTGGGTTTTCAGATCGTCTTGCAATTTTATCAATAGATATTTTACAAGTGGCAGCAGCGTTGAGCTTTGACTAACTGGGAAGCTTCGTCATGTGCTCCATGGACCCCGAGAAGCCTACAACTTTTTACGTCAGCGCTGCCGTAAGAATCCTGGCCCCGGGTCCCCCCCCACACCTCTCTCTCTCTCTCTGCACAGTTTAGTTTCATCATCTTCCATGACTCCCAGCGGTGTACAGCGTGAACGTCAGCTTTGACGTGTTTGGTTTATACCCTCGGAGTGACCAAACCGCTCTATATGTTTGATTCTTAATTACTAAAATCGGAATCAAGATAAAAATTGATTAGAATAACTGTTAATATTTATAAAATTAAAATATCTCTTCTGCTAGTTCATATGATTTTTTTTTTTTATGAATTGTATGTTATTATTCTTATTTTCATATTATATTGGAATCGTTTAGTATTTATTTTATGTTTCACCCTTTCATTCATTATTTACTCTATTGTCTATGCTTTGTGTGTGCTTGTAATATTCTTTAGTTTATTACACACACATATATATGTATATATATATATATATGTATATACATATATATATATGTATATACATATAT